ATAAATAAATAAATAAATGATTTACACCATTTCTTAATTAATTTTCTTACCACATTGGTTAACTTTTGGATGCCCTGATCTTTGTCTGCTTAAATATAATTTATCAATTTTGCAAACATCTCACCTTTTGCAGACACTCTGACCACCCTGGGGAAGTATACTCTGTTCCTAAACACGAAGGTAAACGAAACGAATGCTTCCGTCTTTGGAGGCAAAGAGCTTCCAAGCTACAAACTCAAGTTCACCATCAACGGTAAGAAAAAACCACAACACTTCAACCGTCACATTTCTTATCATTTCTAAATACCCTAGTCCCACACGTCCACTGTGTTTTTTAATCCTTCTCAGCGGGGGGTGCCGAGAGTTTCGTTGTCGGTGAAGTGAGCGCCACTCTTCACGTAGGAGCGCCATTCAACATTCCTCTGCTTATAAAAGATGGTTACGATCACTCGGCGGCGCCTCCTCCTGATCTCAAACCTGTACTCAAATGCAGGTGTGTCACTTTATTTTATCGGCTGCTGTCGTTTCAAAAAGTTAAACCCCAGTTTTGTTTTGTTTTCAGTGGACAGCTTACTTTTCTTCTGGCTTGAAATGTGACATGTGCTTTTATCTAACGGCAGTTTATGTAACTGATTTGAAAGCTTATCATGAATCCTATTATGTCTTTGCTAGTAAGCTCTAGCACCATTATTATTATTATTATTATTATTATTATTATTATTATTATTATTATTTAATTAGTGGCCTGGATCTGAGTTACGAGACTGTGTACATCAGTGGGACCACGATCACCATCAGAGGTGTCGAAGCAAGAGGAAAAGTCCTGAGTTACCAACAATCAAAGGTTAGAAAAACAATATGCCTCCTATTAATAAGACATTAGTCTGCCTATTGACGCGAAAGGAACAAATATGTTACATAAAAGAATCACAACGCAGTACGAGATGCAAACCTACAAAAAGATAAATATCTCTTCTCAGCCTTGTAGACAAGAGTACAACATTTGACACAAAATTGCTTGATACCCAAGAGAAGAGACGCCGACTGCTTATCCTCCAACTGTTATTTTGCAGACGTATGACCTGAAAGTCACCCTGCCTGGCCTGAAGACAGACACGCAGACGATCAAGATCTGTCTTCTTCCTGGTAGGACTGCACTTACTTATTCATCTAGAAAAATGAGTAGAACCTTGAAATGATGACAGTTGGACGTCATCCATCTGTGGTTGAAGTGGTAATCTGTTGGCTGCGAACATCAAGATGAGGATCAGACCACAATCTTGTCAGCGGTGCTTTTTTTAGCATCTTATCTTTCTCCGTGTAAATAATCATCCTGACAGTTGAGGAAACGCTCAATAGTCTCTCAGCTGTATGACGATGTTTTTGTTGTGTTTTTTTTTCCATGTCTGTGATCAACTTATTGGACTTTAACTTTATATTAAACTTAATAACTTATACCCTTGTTCCCCCTTTTTATGATCGGACCTCCTCTTTTCACCCTCCCGCTCTCAATGTTCCTCTAGACAGTCATCTCGTTCATCGTGTCATACAGTTAGGATTAATGATGCACTTTCAGCCCCGGTATTTTGGGGCTTTTGGGACATCTGGTCACATGAGATATATCATTTATCTGCTAATGAAGCCTTATTTGGATGTACCCCTAACGTCCCCTGCTCTTCTTCTTTATGAAGACTTACTGTCTGTATCTTTATATTTAATCAATTCTGTAGACGCTCGTTATGAAGACATCCCGTCTACACCATATCAATTCTTTGTGCATGGGCGTACTTTAAGTTAAGTTTACCTTAAGCTTCCATCCGTCCCCGGCTTTGTACCATTCAACCATCTGTGTTTTAATGACTCTGTTTTGTGTACCAGAGTCTCTTTGATCAAGCTGCACCAGCAGCGTATGCACAAAGGACTGCTTGTTCCCTTGGGACACAGCGATGGCGACGCTGCTGAAGGCCGCTAGTGAACTGACATGTTTTTATGAAAGTACATGAAACGTGTGTCCCATCACAGCTTTATGAATGTGCGACAGTTTTTTAGATGCATGAGCTATCACTAACCCCAGATTATACTGATACATGAGCAAACCCCTGAACTCAACTCTTAAGCAAGGAATATAACTGCACACGCATACATTTTTCAGGTAGTCCACATTCACTCCACGTGATGCCAGAAGACAACCCAATCACAGTAGAGAATGGAAACCCTGTCACGTTTAATGTCCGGATTCACGACGAGGCTGGAAACATCACTGCTCGCCACAAACAGATCGTTTGCTGCCAGGTACTGTATGGATGTTACATTACATTACAGACGCTTTTATCCAAAGCGACTTACAATTCAGAGTCTATCACATTTCTACACCGTAGGCACAGCTACGGGAGCAATTTTGGGGTTAAGTGTCTTGCTCAAGGACATATCGACATGCGACTAGCGGAGCCGGGGATTGAACTGCCGACTCTCTGATTGAAAGACGGCCCTGCTATCCACTTAGCCACAGTCGCCTGCATTGTGCACAATGTGCATTAAATGATATAATCTGCATTAAATTATATAATCTGAATAAATAGAAATAGAAAAATTATGTTTGTGGACTTATCCTCATCCTTTTATTTGCAAATCAGGTTCAGGGGTTTCCAGCAGTGGCAATCGACTGCAGCACCACAGGAGCCGGACAGCTTGTGACAAAGCCCATAAACCTGAAAATAATCAACGCAGAACCACAAAACCTCAAAGTGAAATTTGAGATGCCTGTAAGTTAAAAAGCTTTCTGTTTCGTTGGAACATTCCCCGATTTTAAAAACTTTGGTTGTGATGTCTCCGCCTGTTCTTCGTTTCCCCCACAAGAGTCTGAAGAAGATGCCGGTGGTCGGGAGGGAGCTGAAGGTGGTGCCCAGCACACGAGTCTCCCGCATGGAGCTCTGCAGTGAGAATTTGGTGCTGACGAACAAGGAAAAGATAGATTGGCTGGCTGGAGGCTCGCTGGAGAACCTGTTCTATAAGCTGTATGATGAGGCTGGGAGACAGGTTCCTCCCACTGCTGAAATAGCCTCCATGATCAAGGTGACCCTGGCATATAAATAAATAAATAAATAAATAAATAAATAAATAAATAATGCCTTGTCTGCCTGTTGTACTTACTATACTATCCTATTATGCAGATTATGCGTTTTATAAATGGTGTGATTAATGAACATTTCCCATCTTATTGCTGACTTGTCATTGTTCACTGTGACTATGTTTAAGGTTAACTGGACAGGAGATGTAAATGCAGAAGATTTGGTCCAGGGGAAGCTGCCTGACTTACAGGTGCCCAAGCAGGTGCAGCCGGCGCTCTTCTACCAGGTGTCCTACCAAGACCAGAGTGTGTCGGTCTCCTTCTACATAGTGTAAGACACATACCCGACTCAAAGCTGGGATTCAGTGTTGTGAAAGAGCCAAGCTAGCACATTGCTCGTTGCCGGTCTTAATGATGATCTCCAGGCTTCATATTTAACAGATAGATGTGGGAGCGGTATTGATATTCTCACTTAACACTCTGCAAATAAGTGTATTTCCCAAAATGCCAAATATTTTATATCTACTTTTGAAGTTTTCATCCTCTCCTGTTTTGTTTGCAGGCCTCGTCCGGATGAACCAAACCGACTCAAAGCAACTCTGATCCAGAACACCGTGAAGTTGGGTGAAATCCTTCCTGGAAACATCAGTCAGTATGAACATAAACTCCCAGAAATCTTACTTTTGAGGATACGGTTGCACACTGGATAACACGCATCTTTTCCCCTCTACAGGCTTGGAACTTGTTGACCGGTTTGATAATGTAACCAAGACACTAACCTCCACCTGTAAGAACCACATGACTGTGGAAGCTGAGGGTCTGGACAAATCGGCCATCGCCTTTGTTTGGCAGGTGGGAAAAGAGACGCGCACACTTAAAGGAAAACTTCAGAAATGAAAGGAATTGTTTAGCACACAATTAAAATGACTCGTCTTACTCCTGCATGCTGAGTCACCCCCTGGTGAAGAGGTCACCTTCTCTCCGACCAACACACCATAAAAATGCCAGGCACAGCCTGATATACGCATGAGTTAAGCAAGGTAATAAAACGTGAATTGAAGGAAAGCCTCCTGAGATTAAAAAGGAGTCTCTCTCGATTCCTTCTCTGCTTGGCATCGGAAGCATTCCTGACAGGAGCAAGTGCCCGAAAGGGGAAGAGCTTTCATTTATTGCCTGGACATTTCCGTCCCTCGTGAATTTACTAATGGTGGAAGGGCTTTGTTGTAGAATGTGAGCAGCTTAGTGTGCGCTTATTAGAAGTCCGTGTTTTCCCCTGAAAGATATATAAATATAGTAGCAAATATGATGATTAAGTTGCTCATTTTATTTTATTTATTTGTCAAGCAGCTGTTAAGTATTTAATAAATAAATAAAAATGCTCTGTACTAATATATAATAGTGACATGGGCTATTCTGCATAATGAGTCCTCCAAGTACACTTTGATGCTTATTTACTGTACTTTTACTTGAGTAACATTTTGAATGCATGACTTTTACTCATAACAAAATATTTCTTAGATCGCGTTCCCAATACTGTTACTTAAGTAAAGCATCTGAATACTTCTTCGAAAACTGTGTAAATGTCCTGAAGATAATTTCTGCTGTATATATGTTGAAATCAGGGGAGCAGCAGCTCTGTTCTGGTGACGGGGGTGCAGTTCCAGTCTGGCCCTCTTGGCCCCAAAGAGTTGTGCTTCACCTACAGGAGCTTTGTGAAACGCGTCACAGTTAAAGTGACTGCTGGAGTCCCTGCACAGCTTAAACTCATCAGTGGGCCAGCGACGGTAAGAAAGGACTTTTACTTTATGGACGAGGGGATTAAGAAGCTGACCCTGGTTGTGATTCCAGCTTCATAACATATATTAAACAACATATATATTCAGCAGGTTAAACTAAGTGTCAAAGCACATCTTTTTATTTCTTTCACTCAGCCGTTGCAGGTGCTGAATGACCAAGGCATCGCCACACCGTTCGTTGTCCAGCTGTGTGACGAGTGGGGAAACCCGACTACAGACCAGAGGGTCGTGGTGAAAGTGAACTCTTCAGCCCCGGCACTGAAGGTTAGCTCGACGAGCAACACAACACGTACTTTATTAATGCTTTTCAAAAAGTCAGTAAGAGATCTCAAAGTGGAAACGATGTAAAGAGACCCTCTTGTTGCTGTAGGTGACAGCAACTGTTACTTCACAACCCGTAGACGCAGAAGGGAAAGCCTCTTTCACTATAAGTAGTGTGAGCGGACCAAAGTAAGTGTCACTTTATAATACCATATATAAGGGAGCATCATGTCATCATAATGTAATAAAGGTGTCTCAAATCAGGGGTTGTATCATCAGTCAGCCACATTTCCAGACACAGCTAATGTCCCACCAGTCACTGACGGGAGTGTTGTTACCCTGTTGTTCCACCAGGGGGAACTATCAGCTTGAGTTTAACGGTTCCCTGAACCAGAAGCCCATCGCTGGTTTCATCGTGAATCTCACAGTCATACCTGATCCCAACAAACCCGTCAGCCTGTCGGTGGAGTATAACACCAGTGCCGTGTTTCCTGCTGGAGGCCACTTCCCAGGTTTGCGTCTTAATCAAATCTCTATTTTTATTTTACTATATGCAACCGGTTTATGCGTCTCCTAGCAAACTAAGGGAGATGTGTGTGTGTGTGTGTGTGTGTGTGTGCTTTCAGTCTTCTCGGTGACCGTGGTGTCTGATGAAGGAAGCCCGATGACGACCTTTAACCCCGCCGCTGCATCCATGTTGCTGTCAGCAAACACGCCTCCACAAACGGTGAGTGACTTACTCTCAAGCAGAAGGACTGTCCCTGACTTTTTAAAAATTGCTTTTCTTTTAAACTGCTACTTCTCTTGTCTAGGTGACTGAGCTGAAGTGTAGTAAACCCATGAAGAATGAAAAGAACGACCGTTTTCACTTCAGGTAAAATGCTTTTGCATCCTGTCTGGTTCTGTTCTGCCTGAGTTGTGGCAGGACGTTTAAAACAAACAATATCCGAAGCCTTTAACCTCTGAGGGCTATCAAGATCTCTGGGGTACAAGTAGCTAGTTTACACTCAAATAACCGTTTTCTTTTTCAGCTAATAAAAGGCTAAAACATCATCAAACGATAGCTGACGGGTTCCGAGATTGTATTTCGGCTAATGACTGTTTATTGTCAATTAGAAATATGTCAAGAGTTGGTCGATAAGATTGATGGCAGTACAGTACATATGAAGGTACTGCAAGCAGCCGGTTATCTTAGCGAGACCAGACAAAGGGAAACAGTTTGCCTGGCTTTGTTCAACGGTAACTATTCCTTTAAGAAATGTAAATATGTTTTTTTGTTTTCTTTCACTGCAGAGATAAAGAGATCCCAGAACACGTGGGAAAGTACACCATCCAGTTTTCTCTACGAATAGACGATAGAAAAGTCCTGCACAGTAATCGGGTTGGTTGAATGTGGAAACATCACAGCGCCTTCACACATCCGACAGTAACGATACAAAGCATGTCCGTTTAAAAGGAAAGTTGGTTGTTCGTTGAGTTGAGACCTGTCTCCTAGATTTCGATAAATGTGGTGGCCAATCAACCTGCCAAACTGGGACCCGACTCTCAGCCACCAACACCAGTTGTTTCCGACAGCAAGGCCATTGCCAACCGAACCCTGGTGGAGAAAATGACTCTGAAGATAATGGTGAGCGTGAATGTTTACGTACGGCAACAGAGCAGAAACAGCTTTCCAGATTAATTTTAAAGCTGCAGTTTATAGAGTTGCTTCGACTGATTCCAGGATTCATATGGAAACCCAGCGGGTCAGGACCTGGACGGGAAGGTGGTCGTTTCTATAAAGAACGTCAGTGGAGACGGCAACAAAAACCTCCCGCTGTTTGAAGGCAAAACCAACAGCTTGACGATACGCTTGGTGGAAGGAAAGGCCCACATTAATGTGAGCAACAAACACAGCTTTTATTTTGGAATGGCGCCATGATGCACATCGCACATATGATAATTGTATCATTTATTCTCCACAGAGGCTGCTTATCATGGAGAACAGCCCCGGCGAGAATGGGAGCGCATACATCCTCCTCTTCAAACCTGAAGTGTTAATGGTTCCCACGCCCCTCGCTCCTTTTGAGCTCCCCTTCCATTTTTACAATGGTATGGCATGAGAACACTTTGAGATCTGTGTCATGTTTCATGTATAAATTAGATTGTCAGCAGTTTAAAAGTGATGCGAAAGCAAAGTTTGAGTAAATGTGTCATTACATTTTTATTTTTTTTTCATTTTAATTACAAAAATGCCATTTTCCTCATTCAGTGTTATCCAACTATGCAGAGTTTTGGTTTTATAGATATATCTCTAACTAATAGATATTACCACGATACGTCACCTGTGTGTACATTAAGACAAATCATCTAAAATGTTAGGTTTCAATATGCAAATGAGGCATTAGCTTATCAAATATGTGCTTATTTACATACATTCCCAGAACAGAATTCTGAACATTGGATAAAGCCTCGTTCATAATAACCCTTGTATTATTTTTATGACTAATTACAGTCAGGGAATTTCTTTTTATCAGAAAACACTGTCAACTCAGTTTTCACCTTGTTTTTAGCCATAAAATGTTCTATAAGTCAGACTATGAATGATATATGACCAAACGTTAAACTTTGTCTCTTTATCTTTTTATTTAGATTCTGAGAGCCAACGGAAAATGTCTGAGCTGTCCAGGAAGAAAGATCAGCTCACTACTTCTATCACTGCATACAAAGGCATCTTTACCACATATAGTGAACTCCTTCATTTGCTGACCTGTAAGATTTTATCTCCTCTTCTTTTATTTGGTCCAAATAAGCCTGAGTGCAGTGTGCTACCGGACAAGTGTGTGTTGTTTTTTTTAAATTATTTTTGCAAACAAGCCACAGTTCTTAAATCTTGTTTAAACACAAGCAGCCGTACAATATTGTCCGACTAAAATGATTTATTTTTATTAAAATGTGGAACTTTCTGATCGGAGATTAAGAAAACAAAACCGTGAATCAGACATTTAAAAAAGCAGCTTTGGATGCTTGGTGTCACAGACTCATTTAGAGTATTTACATAACTTAACTTGTGTCTGTGCTTTATTGTTGTCTGCCAATATGTGTTTGAAACGGTCTCTAATTGCAAGAACTTCTTCCATCACAGCTCATCACCTGGATGCCGGTAGAAAAGAGGCTGAAATTCGAAAGGAGCTGTTAAGCAGGAAGGTGGAAATTGCACAAACTGTACGTGTAAGATGTTAAATCTATTCACACTCAACTTCTGTATATGTAGAAATCTCATTTATATACGTATGTGTATATGTATATATTTAGCGGGGATTACATTTGCATATTTGTTGTTCTTCGTAGATCCCGGATATTGACAGAGTCCTAAAAGAAAAGGGAACTGAAATCGACATGATCCTGAAAATGCCCAGAAGAGTTTGCTCCATTCGCGATCAATTCAGCGGGCAGCAGGATGTTTTGGGAATGGTAACATCAAAGAAAAGCAGGAGTTTTCTGTTGGCTCAGCGCCTTAACAAACCCATAGTGTAACAGATGCGTCCAATCAATGTTTGTGGTAATCTGTGAGTTTGAGAGAAGCTTTGGTCGGACTGAAGCCCCACGGTTTATTCTCACCTTTCACCTTCTGAATACAGGTCGGCCACTTGGCGTTTGTGCAGGATGACGATGCTGCGAGGGTCATCTCCTGGCATATCGGGGGCGACATGGATTGTGTCATCACCAAAACGACCGCGGCGGCACGGAGGATCTACGACGACACCCAAGGGCGGCAGCAGGTTATGGGCCTTGACAGTGTTTATGTGCAACAAGGCAACAGGTAATCCTTCTGTTGTCAATAGTGGATTTCTTTTAAATAAGGAGTTCCTGCACAGCTGTGTTTCTGTTCACGCTCCATCATTTATTCCAGTTTTGGCATCGGTGCCGGAGTAGCTTTCCTGATGAGATTCCTGTGTCCTTGATTATAGTTTTTAATTCTTAAGCAGACTCCTGCTCCAAGCCTCCCAACAATAATCATTTAAAGATCTTGTGGCACCTCCTCGTTGAACAGACTGTTTAGAAAGAAGGAAGATCAACAGAGAATCCCTCCTCTTGTGGACATGCAATGAATGTTGTGTGTACACAATAGAACAAGTACACTTACTGTATGGACAATCAGGATGACTAAGTAATGGACTGTAAAAATATCTGAAGTCCTGTTTTCATTCATCACATCAGATGCATTTAAATTCAAAGGAAATGATCATGCAAATGAATGCATGCTTTGAAATGTGGCCATTAAATGTAAATGAACATTCTGAATTTATGAAATAAGACTTCAGAGTCTTTTATTTATTAAGTACAGATAATGGTGACTAAAGTTATTGCTATATATAGAGCAACTTCCTCTTGATGACAGGTACTTAATGCATGTTTTAGCAATTACATGCTAACCATTTAGCAGCCCACGCTGCACAGTTTTAGATTTTACAATGACTTTCCTATTTGTTGGTTATGTTACAATAGAGTTGTGTTTAAATCTGCACCACATTACTATATGGGCTGCATTATTATGCATTATGCATTATTATGCTATATGGGCTGCATTATTATTATTATTTATTGATGTACAGATACTTTTATTTATTATTAAATTAGTTTGGCATATAAAGTGTCAAACGTTTGAGTAACAATTTCCAAAAGCTGAAGTCTCTCTCTCTCTCTCTCTCTCTCTCTGTGAGAGAATGAGTTCTTTTAAAAAAAAATAGATTTTTAAAAGCTATTCTAAGAACGGATCAATTGTTTGAGTCATTGTTCAAACACAAGTGATCTTGTTCCAGCTCCTCCAATGTGAGGATTGTTCTGCTTTGCTCTGGTTTTCATATTGCAGTAAACTAAATGTCTTTGAGTTTTAGACTCTTGGTCGGATAGAACAAGACGTTTGAAGATTTCACTGTGACGGGCATGATTTGTGTGAATGTATTTATTTATCTTTTGCATATTTTTTATTTTTTTTGTTGAGGAGCTTTACCTTTTTAAAGAATTGTAAAACAATGTTCAGATCAGCTCAGCAGTCTCTCTACTAACATCTGAATTGCTTGCAGACCGATGCCCCACATAGGAAATGGCCGCATGCTCTTTGATCCCCCTGGGAACCCGGTCCACGCCAGGAACCTCCTGCGTTACCCCCACGACCAGGAGAGCTGCAACATCGGTGAGCTGCCTCAGATGGATTTCCCCTGCTACGTTTAACATGGCCTCGCTGTTGTTCTTTCATTGCAGATTTATATTACCATTTCCTGTGGCTTTTTTAGAGGGTTCCCAGGTCTCTTTGTGTTTGCTGATGTTGTAGTATTTCCCACATGCCCCCCCTCTGCTCCTGTTGAGTCTTGGGTAAATGGTTCCATCTGGGATCCAACCTCGCAGGGGTGGAGGGGTTTTCTCATCGGGGGGCCCAGTCACTGGAGCAGAAATTGAGTCTCTTTTGCCACATTAAAATGACTTTTAATACAGGGATTTTCTGGAATTTGTTTACGTTGAAACATAAATGTATCAAAAGGCATCTCAATTAAGCTCTTCTGTCTCCTATAATCTCCTCTTTATGAAGGTTCTTCAGCGGTAAATAAGTTCTGAATGTTTAGATTTGTCTCAATGTTTCCTGCTTTCTTTGCAGCTTTTAAAAACATCCTCGGAGACACTATTCTGATTGATGACCTGGACTCTGGAAACAGCTACAGAAAGGCGGTGAGTGATGCTCGCTGGTGGAGGCGTGCCGTAAATTTACTGGCCCGTGGTTATTGTTCCTCTAAATGTGCCGTTTCTTACAGGTCGTACAGAATAAGGGGCCGTGTCCCACCATCCTGACCAGACAGGGCGACAGGATCAGTGCCAAGGGCAAGTTCGGAGGCGCACAGAACAAAGCCCCTCCGATCCACACTTTACAAGTGTTTGGAGCCCCCCTCCCACAGCATTACTACACTCTAAAGGAACATATAGGTGACGTTACTCACATTTCTAAGTGTGTTTTTTGTAGCCCTGTTCAGTCAGATTGTGCTTTAATTCCTCTTATTTTATTGGACAGACCTGCTCAGCAAGCACAGGTCAGCTCTGGAGAAGAGGGATCAGGCAGAAAAGGAACGTGAAGATCACTTAAAGAACATAAAGTCTCCTGAAATGCTGAAAAAGCGACGAGAAATGGAGGAGAAGATTACAGAGCTGAAGGAGACCGAGAGACAACTTGGTATGTTTGTTGATCTGGTTGAAAGAGAATTCCTATATTCAAAAATCTTGTTGTTTTTTTTTTATTCTGTTAGTATTGTTGATTTCTAATTGGTCTGTATTCTACTTTTAGTGTCAACCCCGGTGAGACCAGTGAAACGGGGTCTTGAGGGTGCCGGTGGGCCATCCGGCATCGTTCCAAAGAGATTAAAGTAGATGTCAGCATCAGAGGTGGACCAGTCCAACCTGATCTCATCTTTGAGCTATTGGAGTTTTTGTAATTGATTTTTACTTGTATTTTTATATGTTTTAATACTTTTATAATAATCACAACAGCTGACAAAGTTGTGTGTATGGAATGATTAAGTTCAAAGAAAAGCTTTATTCTTTCTTCAAAAAAAATATACATATTTTCCAAGATTTTTTTTTGCCTGTGTCATTATTTCTACCCAATAATAATGTCGGTAACATACAAAACTTTCAAATGAACCAATATCGTAGTTTGAGGCATCTGGGCAGGGAGGCATTGCAAGGCGCGCGCATTTTACGCAATGGATGATTACGGTGCCTCTCCGAAACAAAGACAATCATTACCCAAGTTTAGGCCTCCGGAAATCATGTAATTGTATGACAGTGTTTCTGGATGCCGAAAGAGGGGTGTGTGTGTGCGTGTGCGTGTGCGAGTGATCTGAGAAACGGAAAAAAGCATCTGTCATTGTTGGATGGGGTGCCGAAACGTCACATCCAAGGACGGTGGAAGGAGCATGTAGGTCTGCGCACCATAGAGAGGGAACAACGCACAACAGACCTTCACTACAATCGGACAGCATACTGGGGGATTTAAAAATATATATTTCAACCATGAAGTGCGGATTTATTCACTTTTTAATAGCGTTTCCTCTCATCAGCGGATCACCTTTCCAGCATGGTATGTTTCAGGGAAAAAGATATTCTGGCACCGAAACACGACAGAGAAACAAGTGAGTAATGAATGTTTGATGTTACGTCATGTTTGATTGTTAATTAACTGCTCATTTAATTGACCCATTCAAGCGTCTCATTTATCCTCTTATGTGCGTAAATTCATTCAGTCACTTGAGGAAAGCAATCCATAAAATGAAAAGGCACTGCCGCTCTTTTCTGCAGAAACTGGTGCGCCTACGTTGTGCACAAAAACGTGAGCTGTGCGGTCGTGGGAGGCACGGATAGTTTCGTGCAGCCGGAGGTTTTGCCGTGTCCACCGGAGATGCCAAACTGTGCGCAACAAGTGATGTAAGTTCCCAGAAGTCCAGGACTCGGGGGGGATTCTTTTATTTGTGTTGTTATTGTTTAGCAGTGTGAGGCACGGCGTCTATTATAGTGTGGACTGTGATGTTAAAAAAGGATCTCTTGGTCTTGTCAGATGTGCGTGTGAGGTGAAGGACAAAGCGCTTCCTCCAAAATCCCCCTCTGTTCTGGTTTATGTCAGCTGTTTTGTCATTCTATACTTTAAGTTGCATTGTAGTTTAGATTATTTGTCTTCTGTAAGGCCGAAACTGACAAAGTTTTCAGGAAGAAAACCTCTAACACATTGTTATACTTTGTGCATTTGTGATCTGCGTCCTTATTTCATAATTACTGCAGCGGTGGAAGTATTCAGATATTGAAAGTAGTAATACCACAGTGTAAAAATACTCTTTCAAGTAAAAGACTTGCATTTAAAATCACACTTAGTTAAAGTATTGGCAACAAAATACACATAAAGTACCAAAAGTATAACTTCTCATTATGCAAAATTGCTAATTTCAGAATAATATTACTGGATTTTAATTAGTGATGCATTAATGTGTAAGGATTACTCATGTTGCAGCTGGAGAAGATGGCTCTAATTTCAGCTACTATACTTCTGGGTATTCCAAAAAAGTAGAATGTATTAGTTGATTTACAAGTTTTAATAATCTGAACCTGCAAAGTGACTGAAGCTGTCAAATAAATGTAGTGGAGTAAAAAATAGCATTTTCCCCCAAAATGTACTGGAGTAGAATTATAATGTAGCATAAATTTGAATCGGGTAAATTGTACTAAAGTACAGTATTTGTGTAAATGTACTTTGTTACATTCCCCTACTGGATTGCAGTGCACTTCTTTGCTTTGCCTTTGGTATTTCTGTTATGTAATCAATGGCTCTCTATTAGAAGAAGATTCATTATAGAAGAATCTTAAAAACTTGACTTGGAAAGCAAAAAGATAATTCGGGCATCTGTGTTGAATCTTCATGAATGGCAGACATTACTCTGACTTTGTTTTGCTTCAGTGTTCTTTGTGCAACAAACACACTTGTGAGATGTTAATCATGGAGTGTCAGGACCTTGTGGGCCAACAGTGTCCTCATGAGTGGAAGTGGTGAGAAGTCTTAGCTGCTTCCTGCCAAGCCTTCCTGATTAATTAAATGCAAATGGCACTGGTGGTTATCTTGTCTTAGTTGATAACAAACAGATTTTATTGTGCTATTTGTCATTGTGCAACTCTCCCTCTCAGCAATACAAAGTCTTACATTAAGTGTCTAACAATCAACATTTTTATTATTGTTGCTACTATACCAACAAGTTATAAAACATACAATTGTGCAGCATCCCTATATTTTTAGAATGTATTCATGTCTTCATGTTTTAAATGCTTCCAGATATCAGACACACTTTAGGACCATGTATAAGATTGCGTACAAGACTGTAACGGAGTTGGAGTGGAGGTGCTGCCCGGGGTACCAGGGCCACGACTGCTGGGAGGTGAAAGACATTAAACTGCTCCAAGTGGAGCGCTTGCCTCATGCTCCCTCTGCCTCTGGACATATGCCAGTCCCACAAGGTAAAAGATTAGAAGTAAAGAAATCTAGCATGTAAATAGGTGAAACAAAATTACGCAAGTAACTGCTGGAGAAATAAAAGCATTCATGTTTCCTGCTTCCAATCCCCCTTTCTGTCATTTCTCGCTACAGCTCCAGAGCAGCACACAGAGACCCAGAGGAACCATCCATGGGGAGGGGAGGGGCAGTTTGGAGGTCAGACAGGTCTCAAACCAGTAGGGAGTCATGGAGGATCTCAAAGTGCACAACATCTGGAGGAGGAGGTGCAGGAGCTATCCCAGATGGTCCTTGACATGCAGGCAAGAATGACGGACATGTCCTCCAATCTGAGACTGGATTTCCAAGAGGACGCCAGTAAAATGCTGCTCACGCTGCTGAATAACTACAGACAGCCTGCCAGTGCGAGAGGCGAAGAGACGCACATCGTTCAGGTGCAGGACTTCTCTTTTGGGAGCGAGACAACACAGATGGACGAGGTCTTGAACAAGATCGGCCAGGTCACAGACGATCTGGAGTCCAAGAGCAATACCCTGGATGACCTGCGGGGTCGCGTCAACCGCCATGACGGACAACTCCATCTGTTAATGGAGGCTGCCCACAACCAGCTGTCAACTCCCCCTCCCGATCCCCCAGCCGGGGATACAGACCTGCGCGCCTACCTGGACGAGAAGATCCGCGCGCTGAGAGAGGAGTTAATGGAGGGCATGGACATCAAACTGGCAGACATGAAGAACTCGTGCGATTATAAAATCACGTCGGTTCAGGAGCAGTGTGAGGGACAAGAAACCAACTACCTCAGCCTGGCAGAGCTCATGGACTCAAAAGAAACTGACCTCCGCAACGAGATCCAGGACCTTAAGACCAAGCTGGTTGATCCAGGAAAGGGAGGCATCCGTCTTGTGGAGAACCTTGAGATCTGTCTGAACTCATCTACGAAGACTGAAGCTGCCCAGTGTCTCTCTGTGGAGGAGAAGCTGAAGAAACAACAGGCAGAGGCCATCAAAGACATGAGGGAGACTCTGGAGGACAAGCTGGCCTCCACGGAAGACCGAATCATCACCCTGTTGGTAGATACAAGCAACAACTCCCTATCTGGCAGTCTCCTGACTGCTGTAGAAAACATCAGCCAAAAAAACTTCCAGACCTGCAGAACTGCTATAGATGCTATGGAGACTAGTCTAAAAGCCCAAATAAATGGTATTGGGACCATGGAGGGGCAACTCCTCAACTTCAGCACCATCATTGAGAACCTAAATGGCGAGTTGAGCAATCTGAAAGGGCGTGCCGGCAAGTTGGAGGACTCGCTATCGGATGCCGTCCACCAGCAGTCTCGGGTGTCTCTGATTCTTAACTCCACATGGGGTCAAGTTGAAACGGGGCCTGAGCAGGAGGCCAAGGACCTTCTGGAGCTCCACAGGACTCAGCATCGGGAGCTGAGAAACCATCTGGATGAGCTGGGCAGGGAGGTGAAAGCAGAGGCCGACCACTGCAGGGAGTGGACTGAAGATGTCGGGAGGGAGATTGCACGCATAGACAGCCGCATTGTTAGCATGGAGAGTTTATGTGGCCGGCTGGACCCTATCTCTAGTAGCCTCCAGAGGATCAAAGAGGAGCTGAATAAACACGTCTCTGGGTTGTGGACTTGTGTCAACCAGCTGAATGGTACTGTTAGAGCTCACGCCCGTGATATTGGAGGACTGAGGGGAACTTGTGCGAACCTCCAGAACCACATCTCTAATGTAGCCAAAGACCTTCAGGTGATAACAAACAGCAATCCTGGGAAGACAGGTAAGGCGCAAACACAGACTGACCCATTTTATCGCCTCGATGTGTGAATGATTATGTCGTATTATAGGGATTTTAAAGCAACACTTGAATACTTTCTTCTTCTTCAAAAGGAAAAATGTAAACCCCTTAGCAATAAAACGTACTCTTGCTCAATTTCTGGTGCTGAAAAGTGAAGCCAACGCAGAAATGCCAAAACATGCAGTTCCTCAAATAGCCACTAGAAGCTGGCTCCAAAAGTGAGTCAATCCCCATTGACCTCAATGTTAAAATGCCCAACTTAACGTCAGAAATGAACATGTTTACAGCCTGGTACAAAAAACCGTTTTGGTCTCTAGCTAATACCCCAGTTCATGACAACTGTACGTTTAAATTATATTAAGGCTTTAAGTTTGGTAAAATTAAGGGTGTGGCTGCGTTGAGTGACAGGTTGGTGCCGTCTCTGGTTGTCAGCTGCTAGCTGTCTCCTGTGCTGCCTCACCTGGAGCCTCCTCAGCTCCACCAACGATCCACCTCTTTGCCCATTTTTAGACTTGGGCTCTGCTCTACATTCGTCTCGCTTTATATACATTTTTCCAGGTTTATACCAGACTATATCAGATTCATTATCCACAGAAATAGTATAATCTTGAGATCAGTCAAATAGCTGTAATTTTCCCAACCTTTGAGATCATTGCTTGGACTGAAGTCCGTTTGTTTAGTTCATTTATTGGAGAGGCTGCCATATTGGAGTGTGTTTCAGTGTGTGAGTGAGAGTAAGTTGGATTTTCATTTAACCATGTTCTCAGTTACAGGAGGCAGGGTTGATTAAAGACACATGCTTGATTTAATAAACCCCGCTTGTGTTGAGCAATGCCTTGGCATAAAGTAATATTTTTTGCTTGGCTTTTTTTGTGCAAGTCTGCAGTTATGTGTCCATAAACTGTACGTGTATGAAGTTTTTTTGGGGTGTAAAATATGAGAAGATCAGGGTGATCATGTTGATGTTTAGCTGTTTGTTTATCATTATTGCTATTCTAAGACTGAGAACAGATTTTCATACTGGTGCATATGTCTCATATTTCTCGTATGAGTCTACATATTAATGCTGCCTTGAGACCGAGCTGGACATCTCTTACTCTCGCATTTGTAAATGTGCACTAGAGGCACACCCATAATGTTTATGAGCCAACTCTCTTCCTCTGGGACCAGCTAGTTTTCTGGTTTATGTGGCAGGTGATGCAGCGTACGATCCAGTCCAGAATCTCATGGGAGGTGAGCTGGAGTAAAAAAAAAAAAAAAAAAGTCCTGGTTCTTGTTCTGGTTCCAGTCCAACTCAGAGGGTGTCTTGATTCATCTCTGTAGCTCAGTCTGTGATGACTGGGACATGTCGCCGCTCCACCCCGTGGTTGTTGTCATAATATGGTGTTTAATTCATCATTCTGTCATTGGAGATTTATTCATGATTTCCACTCGGGCTCAGGGATGTTTCCAGGAGCCTTTTCGATGTTAAAGCTTTGGCTCCTTGTTCGTCTTTGCCCTGCCAGCCGCCTCATCCTCATTGCCCCCACCCACCCCACCCTGCATATCTGAGGAGAGTGGAAAATGCTGCTTGGACGAGTCCATCACAGAGACACCGCCACACAGCTTATCACAGGAAGCACTCATGGCCGCCTTGCTATCGCAGCCAGGACCTTCAGTGTGTTTTGGATGAGATGCTACAGGACTGACATTTAAAACACAACATCTTCAGTTCTTTATTTTCACTCCTGACTCTTCAAGTCCATCTGCAGTTTTCTCCCTTTTTTTTTTTTTTTTTTTAAACCTGCATGGCTGAGTTCCTTTCCTGGTGAAATAAACAGTGTGAACACTTAAAGCTCCTCCAGGGTCCCAAGGGCCATTAGTCAATATGTTTACCATGATGTCATACCGGTTGTTAACCTTTAAATGAGAGGGTCAGTAAAGGGACGAAGGCAGATGGTAATATGTCTTTCTTTAAATGATGACGTTCTCGTTTTGATTTATTATGGCTTGTTGACAGAACATGACAGAAATACATAAGCCACTTAGGTTTTGCTTGAAACCCCCATTTCTTCATTCAACAGTGGGCCTCCAGTGAATGTGCACAACAGCTGCTCCAAGTTGGGCAAAACTGAACTATTAATTAATTAATAAATAAACAGAAATGTGCATGAAAGTCAATTCTTGACGTTGAAATAGTTTGAAACAGAAATAGGTACCTCTTTCTAGCAAGGCACTGCTTATAAAAGGATGAAAAGTTAGTTTTATTAATGATTAATCAACCATTTAATAATGCTTTATAAATCCGCTATAGACTAATAACAAGAGCAACTTTTGCCAGGTTATAAAAAATCTCCATCACGTCCGGAGTTTCAGATATTATCACGTTGTTAATAAATAGATTGTGGTCCAGATGTTCTGCAGGTAGGTGGTCCATTAGAATCTACCTGAACTAAACGGTTATTTAAAAAGATAAACAAACTGCAAAAGGACGATAAACACTTGAGGAACAAAATTATTTTTCATCAACCTTGCAACCTTTTAATTGCTAAAAACTGATGTAAAAAGTAATATACGTAAATTATTTATTAATATTTATTTGTCAATATTTATTTATTTTTATGAATAAAGCCATTAGTTAAAATGTATAACCCATTTTCTAAAGAGTAACTTATTAGAAAAAAATAAATGATTTTTTTAGGAATGCTTTTAATTTTTTTTCTTTTCAATCCATGATAACGATGCAAATCACAAAATAAAGGGTTTGGCTGGTGTTTGCATATGTGGAGCCCAACACTAGTAAGTGCCGCTTCCTCAGTTTGTTAGTGTGCAGATGTAAGATTTTTCCTAATCCTTTAACATGTGTTAAAGCCCATCCTTCTCATTGTGTTCGACACGGTGGCCTCAACCCACTTAAAACCATCCTAGAGCTCTATTACGGGGAGGCTCTGAGATAAGACAGCATGGTTCCCTGCTTCTGACGATGCTCTGTTGTGAAGCTTGGTAAGGTCAATGACCCTATGCAGGAGATAAGGTAGCTTAAAGGGTGACTCATTCTGGTCAGCAGTCAATCATGATAACCCCATGAACCAAAAACAAGATGAGACCTGACGGAACTCCCTCAAGAACAATAAAGCCTTGAGTGTTTGGTTGCTGATCATTTCACCCTGTTATCCTGACGGATCTCCCTTTTAATCTTCTGAGGCTGGATTTATTGATTCTTAAATCAAAATCTTAGGAGCTCAGTGTGTTTTTCTTCTTCTTTTTTTTTTTTTTTTCCATAAGTGAGTCATAAAGTCCAACCAAATTGCAGCCGCTGTCATGTGGTATGTAATGTGGAAAGTGGCACAAGGGGCTGTTGTATCCCGGAACCGTTTGGGTCTCGATGACAACAAAAGGGTTTCCCATGCTGCTTTGCTTGGAAGGATGCAAAACTGCGGTGGACAACCGACCCAGCTGCATTTGTTTACAGCTCACCTCTTTCATCATGACAAATGCTCCCGCGTAGCGTGCATATACATCCTGTGTTTTCCTTTTATGCTCGTGGCACTCGGTCTGAAACCAGTTTTGAATCCCTCCCCATCAAAGACTGCTCACGTACCTCGCTTTAAATGAAGGAGCGACACCACTAACAAACGCAGCCCAGAACATAACCATGCGTGTGTATATGCAGACTTCCCACCATGTGCGGTTTTATGGTTCCTCACCGGCCCCCTTTCCACATGTGTTTAACAGGCAGACCTTTCTGGCTTCCACACTAAATGATCCTTCTCCTCGGGGGTGAGGCGACAGGCTGTCCGGTGATTGAACATGTGGCTGTGTCTTGGTATGCTGCTGGTATGCCTTTTATGTGCTGCTCTTTACCTTTTGGAGCCCTTGGGGCCTGTTGTCCCGCTGTGTGCCCCCCAGGCGGGAGGGCTGATCTGTTGATAAAAGCCAGGGTTCGACCTCAGCTGTGGTTCTCAGGAATGCAGCAGTGAATGAAGCTCAGAGTTGATCACTGTGTGATGGGAGAAGTGGCAGTGGTCTGTCATTTTCTCTGTTTATGTCCATAATAACAGGCTCGGATAACAACTCGCTGTTTAGCTGTTAATGAGAGTCTACAGAAGCCATAAACTTAAACACAATGGCACGTTGACACTTTGGATCTGCTTTATGTAAAATGTCTGACAGGGTCACTCAAAAGCAAAAGCCCTCCACTAAATACTGCTAATATGAACGCTATAATTCGTAGTTTCTGTGTCAGAGAGATATCAGTTTGATCTAAACGTATTATGAATGTTCAACCATAGTTTGCAGCAGAGTTTTATTGGGAGTTATGGTGACAATGCACGTCAAATACACAGTTCAATACAGTATCTCTGGTTGCATCGGGACATTTGTTCAAAGTTTTTCTGTCTTGCCCCCCAATGAGAAAAGGCACAAATGAATGTGCAAATTAATAACACAAGGCCATTTGTGTCTTCTGCTCATAACTTCAAGGTTTTTGACTGGATTTATGGTCCTCCAAACATCTGTCTCTCTCTGACCTGCAGCCGCATCGCTCACTGCATATCTGTCTTTTTCAGGTGTTCAGGTTGCCGTGGTGGACGCCGGATTTCTCCAAGGTTCAAGTAAGGGCCTCACGGGTCCGGGTGCTCCCCCAGAGGCCCCCCTCCCACAGCCACCTATGATGGAGACCGGAGAGGCGGGACCCCCCGGCAAGATGACCTCGTCCAAGCTGCCCAAAGGAATTGACGGCAGCATGATGCCTGTTCAGGGTTTTGCCGGAGCTCCAGGTGAGACACACACCCACATGTTGCACTCTCCTCTGCATGTTATCCAGGGATTATTTCATGTATCTTTTTTCTTGTTTTATTTCATAGCCTCCCCATTCAAATCCACTGATTTACTAAAACCCAGCACGCTGGTCATCTCAGGTAGATTCTCCTTTAACTTTTTGTGCTGCATCAAAATTTGAGTCTCTCCAGAGCGGATGAAAATATTCTTCTTTCGATCAGCAGGTGTGAACATGCCCCACAGACTGTCATCACACACAGCGTCAGGTCAGAATTGAATCCCCTCACACAGCTTCCTGCCTCTATTAACATAATGTTTGTTAGCTCACGTTTCCTGTCCTGTGTTCAGGTGAGAGGGTGTCCTTCTCCGCTGGTCTGACTCTTCCTCCGTTCCAGGGAGAGGTTGGAATCATTCGATTCAACAAGGTGTTGGTCAATGATGGAGGACACTATGACGCTCACACAGGTAACCGTCACTGGCCCAAACAGTGAAGCATGAAACCTTTTACTTTATTGAAAAACTGATTAATCAATTAATGTTGCACCATTCAATTAACTTAAAAAAAAAGTTACACACCCGATCCTGCGGACTATTGTCTCATACAATGGATGCTTATGAGATATGTAAGCTTGTTGATGCTAGCGGCTCTTTGAGGCTGTACTTAGGCCAGCGGTGCTTTGAGTCAAACGCTTCAGCATGCTAAAATGCTCACAATGACAATGCTAACATGCAGATGTTGTGGAGGTGTTATGTTTCTTCTATGTTGTTTTTAGTATTTGTTTCATCGTCACTGTCGTCTTGCATTTATGCTAATTAGCAGTAAACTCAAAGTAGAACTGAGGGTGATGGGACTGTGACTAGTTTAGATTAGACTTCTTTATTGTTCACGCGCATGGAAATATGTCTTTGGTTTCACAGACGTATGTACACTTAAATGCTTCCTTTTCCAAAAACAAAACGGAACAAAAAAGAAAAACATTAAGTGGGCCAAACGGGTGAGATGAAAGTGCATTGTTCTTAAATAGACATAAATAACAGCAGCAGTCACTAATAATGGTTTTCCATTGTTTAGTAAGATGGCAGAGGATGGAATAAAAGATCTCTTGAAGATGTTTCCCGTAGCTCTGAGTAGCAAGTATTTAGTCACAAAGTGTAGAAAGAAGTTTGACCTGTTGATGGCTCCAAGTGAAAAGTAAACTGTTCATCAAAGTGATTTTCATCCAGCTTGATGACATGAATGTGTCCATATGAGGGCTATACATAGAATAGTTGGGAGTTAAAACCAAAGATGTTAACCTCATAGTGGCAAATGATCAGTAGGATTAATCCTCTGGAGAACATGAATGTCTGCAGAAAATGTCATGGGAATCTATAAATTAAACAGTTGTGAAGATATTTCAAAAGGCACCAAAGTAGTGGACATAAAAATCAATGTCTGTGTTTGTTCTCAGGTATCTTCACAGCTCCAACAGATGGCCGCTACCTGGTGACCGCTGTGCTCACAGCCCAGCGAGGCGAGAGGGTGGAGGCGGTCCTGTCCGTGTCCAATCGCAGCATCCAGAGGTTGGACTCGAGGGGCTTCCTGTCACATGATCAGTGTAACTGCAGCAGCTCGGCCTCCCTGAGCCTGGTTCTGTCGCTGAGGAGAGGAGATCGAGCAGGACTGGTCATGACCGCTGGGAAAGTCGCCATCTCAGCCTCCTCTGAGATCCTGTCGTCCTTCAGCGCCGTGCTTCTTTACCCCAGCCCGTCAAAACGGTAGCCCTGCTCTCGTTAAAGACACCTTCTGAAAGTGGAGCGTGGTGCACGTTACTGGGGACACACGGTGGTACTTCATTATCAGGAGGAAAAGACAACCAGCAGGAAACAAATTATAAATGAGATTATTTCTATCATTAATGCTAATATATAGTGTGCTTTCATTGCCATTATTTTATATATATTTTTTGTTTATGACCAAGAACATTTAATTGTCGTCCACTGTTTCTTCCTCAATAATTAAAATGTTAATGAATTGTTAAATGCTAAAATTTGAATTCTGTTTAATCCAGTTTGTTCACTTGTTTATAAAATCAGTTACAGTGTTTTGTTATGTTCTCATCCTACAGCTCATACCAGTTTTCATTGTTGCAGATATCTTATTGGTGTAAAACACTCTTTAAATGTTTCAGATACACCCTGTGCTTTTATGAGAGCATCATCCAACATTTGATTCAACAGTTTAATTGAATATTAATACAATACATGTAGTAAATGTGATGTGTACAGAGTTCATACTTTACACTATGAATGACTTTAAATAGTTCAGGGTTCCTGAGCTCACCTCTCACTGTCTAGCAAATAGAAAGCAGGAAAATACTGTGTTCTCCTCAAAGTTCATCACTTTCATAGAAAGAATGCGTTGAATGTTACTTACAGCTGAACAAAAAACAAAAAGAGGCGTAACATTAATATATTGTAGTTTTCACAATGGCAAAATCAAAACAAGTCTGGCACATCAGCAAAGATTAATTCATCAAAATCGTTTTTTACTGTCAGCCTATACTGAATACTTAATACCAAATAGCAGCAGTATTTACAGTACACAAAGTGCTTTTTTTTTTCTTGAGCCAAATACTTTCACATTTTTGTCTTTATAGGATAATAAGTGCAAAATCATTAAGCTTTGAAGCAAAGACATAAGACATTAAATAAGACTATTAAAGAGTGAATAAGGCCTTAAATGGATGAAAACATAGCTGCTATACATATTACGTTGTATTTGTTATTACAGCTCAGTATAACTTTTGCTATTTATTTCTTCATATTGAGCCAGTGGCCAGTTTTAGCACCTCCACAGCCTAAAATTGTGCTTGGGGAATGTCTTCTTATAAGCACTGTAACAAAAAAAAAAACTGTGCAAATGGTAAGAACCGAACTGATATGTCATACTTTGGCTTTCTTATGTGCCAAAAAGCTAACGGCACCTTCAAATACACCTCTTAAGTGTGTAGCTCAAGCACAAAGAATACAAGTGCATGATGGGAATAGTCCCAAAATAAGAAGATCATGTAAAAATATGGAACACACTCATATCCCAAAGTTTCTCTCTGAAATGGAATGTGTCCAAGACGATATAAAACTATTCCAGCAGCAGCCTACAAAATTGGCAATTGCAAAATCTTATCAATATTATGAGTCATTAATGCTCCGAGTTACATTGATTTCAAGTAATTAACTCATCAATGTAAGTTTGAGTTAAAGCACCTCCTCCAAACACACCTCAGCGATCGGCTGTCTCCAGTAACAGAAGGAGCTGAACTCCGGGCAGCTGAAGGTGGCGTTGTGTTGTGAACTCCGTAAAGGAAAGACGTGCTCTACCAGCTCACTCAGCCGGCTGTATCTGTGAACAGAAAAGCAGCGATGGGAACAGTGAACATGTGTCTGAGAGAAACAGCTGACAGACACACAAACCAGTGACTCTTCCAACACTCACGATGTTTTATTGCCTTTGGCTTGCTCCAGGATCAGCTCCCCTTTGGGATTCACGGTGAATATCCGGCACACAGGCACGCCCACTTGCTTGTAGGCAAACACGTCCTTAAACGCAAGGAAAAAGACAATGAGGATCGTTGTCAGAGTAATTGCATCTAACTGTTGTTTTGATGAAGAAGAAGAAGAAGTTACGTCTACGTACGCTTTCTCTGTTTCCAAAGGCTGCATAGAAGGGATGCATGTTTGGGAAAAACAGGTTCTTGATGTCCGTGAGGCATTCGATCTTGAACTTCTCAGGCTTTTTCTCTATGACCTCTCTAACAAGAGAACGACAAAGAAAGGATTACAGACGTAAGCTCTGACCTGCTGCGGGAGTTGCTCACTTTAAATGAACTTATACAACTTTAAACATTTAAAACCATCAATGAGTTTCCAAAATCACCATAAAAAGAGGCTAGTAAGGTCACCAATCAGTGGTTTTCAGAAACTATTCTAAAACAAAATAATTAAAGGTATCATCACAATGCGGGTAGTACATGCAAAGAAACCATGTTTAACTTTTTTATTTTTTTTTATTTTAATGCGTCAGGCTTTGGGGCTATTGTTTGCACAGATAGTATACAAAGAATGCGGAAGTGTAATCTGTATTTCGAACAACAGCCCTAGAGTGTCGTCTGGCGGACTTTTGCTGGCAACATGAGGGAAGTTAAACAAGTCTTTAAACACTCAACAGTGCAGAAGTGTGACCAACACATTTTAATTCCAGCAAAGCAAACAAAAGACAAAGCAGAATGACTTATTTATATAATTAATTACATCTGAAAATAGACATGTCTGCTTGATCTCCAATGTGATCAGCTGCTAGATTAGTAACTTAAGGTTTGACAGTAAAGATCAGTCAGTGCTGCTTCAAATCCTCGTCGTAAACAAGTCCTGGTTAACATCTTTGACTTAAATTCTGAATAGAATTCCAGCCGCACCGTGTCTTATCAACATCAAGCTGAAGCTGAAACTTAGAATAAATGCTGAGGGGAGGTTTTGTACCTGTGGAAGGCAGAGAAGAGGCTGCTGGGAGAGAGCATGAGGGGTCCTTGAGGCAGGAGAGTCCCTCTGTCGTTCACCCAGTGCAGATATCCTCGGGTCATGTCGGCCATCCCAATTGCTCGGGCCGAACAGTACAGGAACTTGTAGCCATTCCTGTAGCAGTGATCGATGGGTTAAATCTTTTACTTAACTGGAGCCACTTTGCTGTTTGACGTCTTTTATGCAATAACAACACCCGCATTTTGTAATAAACAGTTTGAATGCAATATTTAATACATTTCCCCGCATTTTGTAATAAAGGATTACAAACTGCAATGATGGGAGTTTACATTTTTTTATGAAAATGTTATAATACATGTGTTATGTTACAACCAACCAAAAGAGATGTCTTCATGTTGATGTAGTTTTGATTTGATTATTAAAGATAATCTGCTAATCTGCTGAATCTACTGATCTTTATTTTGGTTGGTTATTACAGAATACATGTATTATTATATTTTCATGGAAAAGGGTTGCCTTTTGAATGAAATTAGGTGAAAATACATTAAATTTTGTCTAGTTACCTAATGCGTTATTACATAATGTTTACTTAATTACTTAATGCTGACGATAGTAATCAACCTGTATCTTACTCGTGCACGGAGTGGTAAAGCTTAGCGATGCCTTGATGAGTCCAGTCTTTCCCGAGCTGAGGGAGAATCTGACCGAACACATCTGATCTGTGGGAAGAAAGACGATTCAGGGTAGTAAATACTAAATACACTGAAAAGTAAATACTATGTAAAAACTCTGATATTAAATTTTAAGTATTTAAAGTCTCAGCGGGCAGCCTGAGAACAGGACAGTGTGGTTTATTGCTGCCTGAGAATGAACATTTAGACTCTCTCGTACTTGGTGATGGTGCCGTCGATGTCGGAGATGATGACCTTGTCGTCCCAGCTCCACAGGTAGATGGTGCCCTCGCAGCGACACGTCCCCTGGTACTGAGTGGTTATGCTGAAGGTGACGTCATTGGGCCCCTCTCTTAGCTTCAGGGTGGCCTGCAAGAGACAGAACATGTGTGAGTTTAAATGCGCACCTCTTAAACAGCAATTGTCCTTTTCATTCCATATGCATGATCAGAAGAACAGCAGACTGATGAGACAGTACCAGTGATCACTTCTCTTACTATCTGGTCAGACGACAGGCGGAGGGACTTCTTGTAGGAGTGAAAAGCTGGCGCCGGTGCCGGGTCTTCTGGCTGCACGTGCTCAGTAGGTGTCGGAGCAGGAGCCACAGCGTTCAGCTCTTTAGTCTCATCGTCGCTGGACCATTCTGCTGCTTTCTGCCTGCCGGACAGAAAACAGACAAATATTATGTCAAAATAAGCACAATAACACAACAATGTTGCAGTGTTTTATAGATGTGTGTGTGACTCAGGGTCAACAGGAAAACCCTGCAGTATCATTTAGCGTCACCAGAGGGCAGTAGACCTCCTCCTCTGCCTGTAACTCTGCTTTGTTCAACAGTAAATATGCAGAATGCTTTTTGAATTCTTATTTTCCACAACAACTGGATGCATCCTTAATAAGCTTTAACACAATCTATAATCTCCCAGCTGGCTCCTGAGTTCTTAACGCTGAGTTTATTCGTCACAAAATGACTAACCTGCTAATAAGGACTCTGTGGGACATGTCGAGCCAACACTGCTTGTGTTGGTGTGCGTGTGTGTGTGTGTGTGTGTGTGTGTGTGAGACTGTAGTGTTGTGAGGAAGCCAGAGCTGTGTTGCTGACTCACTGTGTTTCTGGGGCCTGGTGAAGGGCAGGGCTCTCTCTGGTCACAGACTCCTGTTGCTCTGACTTGGTCTCTGATGATAACTGAAGAAAGACAGAGACATTATTAGACATTATTTACATGATAATGTGAAATAGTGATGTTATGGTTACTGACGCATTCGGGCAACCTGTTCCTAATTTGACTTGAATCATTTACAATGCAAAGTAAAAGTGTGGGATTCCCACTGACCTTCACTATACTGTGTATGTAAGAAGTGGACGTAGTCACCGAGGCGTCACCCATTGGTTTGTCAACTACAGTTTTGAAGCCTCGGGTTCGGCTCTTTGCCCGTCACCATCTTGGTTTTTTGCAGCCAGAAGTGACATGAGGGGGTGGAGCTAAGTACAACCGAACACTGATAGCCCTGCTTTATCGTCTATTTTATGCAAAATTGAACCATAATTTACTAAATGAACATCATGCTGTATTGAAGAAGACTTGAAACTAGAGATTGAGACCATAAACTCATGTTTACAATGTTTACTGAGGTAATAAATTAAGTGAGAAGTAGAGTCGTTTCTCATACAATCTGACTTATTTTTGCAACCAGAGAGTCGCCCCCTGATGGCGATTAGAGAGAATGCAAGTGTAAGGCACTACAACGTTGGCTTAACTTCTATAATCCGGAGGCTGCCGCCTGCTGTAAACACACAGATGAAAGTGTGACTTTATCTAAAAGACTTTTGGCTAAGTCACACATTCAGTACCTGCTTCACGCTGCTCTTTCTCCAGAACCACCAGCGTCCAGACTTCTTGGGCATTTTCTCCTTCACCCAGGCCTCCTCAGTAGCCTGACATTCAGATAAATTATTCATGTGTCAATAGATTAAATGTGCAGCTACAGAGTACACTATAAACACATTAGACCAAGAGGATACCTTTGGCAAGTTCTTCTGAAAAGCCTGCATACTAAGTATCAACGGTGCTGCCAGAGTCCAGTTGTAATATCTGGGAAAAGAGGTTTAATTATTTAATGATTCACCTGTTAGACTGTGATGAGGGTTTAGCAACTGAATAAGGATGTAGGGAAACTCACCTGTTTGCAATTCTAACCACCAAATTGGGATTGTCGATTATTGCTGGATTCTCTGCAAATTCATTGTAGGTGATGATGTGATCCATGAATTTCTCTGAAATAAATGGAACATAAAAGCATGATTTAAAAATCAGTTTTAAGACGTTTTATTAATGTTCATGCAATGAATAATGGCTGTTATCAGAGAATACTGGGTACCTTTAGGGATCTCCGAGTTCTCACCAACACCTCCACACAGCGACAGCGTGACGTCAGGGAGGTCACCAGCAGAGTCCGACAGACACTCGGTGCCGCTGTCTGCTGCTGCGCTGCCAACAGACTGGGGAGACTGGGTTCCAGAGCGCCGCCCCATCTCGTCCCAGTGTTTAGGAACCTGATCCGACTCGCTGAAAACAAACACAGATGGTTAGTTATTATAAATAGTTGCAGCCATTATTGTCCTTACTTCTGTGACACCCAAAACACTCCTGAAAGAGACGATAGGACTTCTCTCTAGAAGGATTAGGAGGTTTGTACCTTTTTGGGAAGTACCGGGCAACAACATCAGGGTCAAGTGCATTCAGGTCATCCAGGTAAATGTCTTCAGGCCCCTGATGTTGGCTCCTCTTCCTCACACCTTTTCATGAAAGCAAGACAAAGAGACGCCTTCTCAGAAATGGCTGACGTCATTTTTTTCTTGTCACTTCCTTTTCGTTGAACGTCTGCATGTGAATGCAGAGCCGCCCCAGAACATAAACTCAGATCCAAATAGAGACCACATCCTTCCTGTTAACGTTCACATACATCTCAACTGTACGTAGAGTTTTACTCGAGACTTCCCCACGTCTAAGAACGATTAAGTAATTATAATACTCATATACACATGTTTTTAGCCTGTTTTGAAGTCCTTGAAGTCATTCTCGGGATACTTAATATTGTAATGAAACATAACTTTCATTCATATATCCATACTGCAGAATGAACATTACTGTAGTGATACAGGACTTTGTGTTACCTCTCTTCTTGACGGGCGAGTCGCTGGTTTTCGAGGAGGCATCAGGACAAACCGAGTCTCCAGCTATGTTACTGGCTTCGCCGCCAGCAGAGCCGCTGTCCCTGCGGCTGGGCGGCGAAGACTTCCACCTGGTCGTGTGTGCGGTGTTTGGGCTGAGGTCAGAGGTAGTGGGACATGGCTCGGATGTAAAACTGCTGGACCTTAAATCTGAAAGGTCCGGCTTGTGCTTGGCGATGTCCGTATTGGGCAACGGAGCTTCGGAGGGCAGCGGCTTGCAGATGCACTGATCAATTTTAACAGTCCGTGGCTCTGGCTTTATAATACTGCAAATGAGATCTGTGGTTCTCTCTCCTTCCCTTTCCTCCATGGCTTCTGTGCTCAAGATAACCCTGAAATGTGTGTTCTCAGAGGGAGTGATGGTCAACATCTTTGGCTCTGATTTGTCCTTTTTATTGACCTGGATGCAAGAAAGAAAGATTAAGTATACATGCAAAATAATCCTCAGGATATGAACTAGACTTGAAACAAATCTCCCTTGTCTCAAAGTTTAGACCGGATCCTGCAAGTCTAGATCTGCATCTCACCCTGGTGGATTCTGGAAACTCTCCCCAGGTCCACTGCATGTGGGACTCGGCCCTGAGCATGCTCTCTGCCGGCTTCACCATCAGCTCAGAGTCACTCTTGGGCGACGTGGACTCCGACATCTCCCTGCTGTAAGCAAACACCACATTTCCACTGAGTCAGCTGTTACGGCCTTGTGGGAGTGATTTGTTTAACTCTGCCCTTCTTGTTTTGATGAAGTGGATCGTCTTCTTGTTTCTCTATGCTTGTACGAACAATGTAAATATTGAGAGACGGGGTGGCGTACTCGGTGCAAGGGGACCAGTCTCCATCAGAAAAAGGGTAGCTGTCCCATTCGAGGGCCGTCAGGTGGGAATGTTGCCTGTGGTCCATATTCCCCTTCATCGTGGAGGGTGCAGATGCCCTGACGACAGGAAGCAATGAAATCAACCAAAAGAATTCTGGGGACTAATGTAAAAATCCAACTTTTAAACTGTCTAATTACCGTCCATTGTTGCCTTTGTGCTCCTCATCTGAACTGAGCTCACACTGCTCCAGCTCCCCGCCTGCAGTTGTGCTTTGCTCCTCCTTGCGAGACTCGGCCTTGTGCTTTTTTCTGCGTCTCCTCTTCTTCTTGCCGGCTGCGTTGGAGCCGGGTTGGAGGTTTCCAGAGGACGGGTCTTCTGGACTCGGAGGCTGACTGCTCTCCGACGCTGAGCCGCCACATCTGGGCTCCCTGCTCCTGAGCAGAGCCTCCTCTGTGGGGATGGGTGATGTCACCAGGTGGGCTGGAACAATCTCCTGTGTTGAGGGGGGAAAAAACACAATAGACAGGACTATGAGTCTACACCCATGCAGCAAGCAGGAAGTGTTGTATGTTCTTATCACAGTCATTTGTTTCTACTAGTATCAGTTTAAACTCAACATAAAAATCTTTCATTTTCAATACAAACTGTTCAAAACTCACGTTGTGCTGCTCTGTCTCCTGGACAAAAAAGGACTCTCCATTGTCTCCAAGCTTCATGTGCAGCTCTACAGGTTCCCCATTGATTTCTATGTCAATCTGAAGAGTCAAACAACACATTTCTGTTTAAAATACTCTGAACTTTACTGTGTAATTCAACACATTCTCCTCAGGTGGTCTCAGCAGACCTCAATGAAGTTTGTTCACAGGAGAAAAGCCCCGTATGCATGCACAACACAGATTATGGATCAAAACAAAAACTGTGCCACAGATTTACCTGAAGAATTAGAGTTAAGCCAGAGAAGAAAAACAGCTTGTACAATGGCTTGCTAAGTTTAAATCCATGTATTAAACAGACCTGGGCTGCCTGGGTGGAATTGGGTTGTTATAAATGCTCAATAACATATGTAGACATACAGTATGTAAGTTTTTGAAATGTTCAATATTGTACTGAGGAAAAGTACTTGAGTAAATGTACTTGTTTACATTCCACCACTGATTTTTTTTTCACCACCAGTTAATCTTCCTTAATCAACAGAATGCCGAATTTGTGCGGAAATGTTTGCTTCAGAACGAATGCAAACGTTCGTTAAAAATACTGCCAAAAGACTCAAAAACGAAACCTCAAAACATTCAGAGATATCAATATTTGGGCACTCACTACTTTCTCCCTGGAGCGCAGAACTCCCAGTTTTCCAAAGCGAACATGGAAGGGGGAGCACTGGAACGTCCGGTCGGGCTGTCGGACCACGATCACGTCGATGCAGCCCGACAGAGTGGCCTGATTGATCCCCTTATACAGCTCCTTCACCGTCACCAGCACCTGGCCCGCCAGCTGCCCCACGTAGTTCATGGTGTCCCCCTGTCAGTGAGAAGACCCTTCATTAATGAATAATCACTCTGCATTTATTACCTTCTAAAACACCTCTAACACTGCTAAACTACGAGCAGAATGACACCACACACTACTTTCCTTTTGCGTCTTTCTAGGTCAGTGTCCCGGTAGTACGGCTCCTGTTGTTCAGAATAGTCTGCAAAGGAAATGCAAGGCGGTCCCTAAACACAGCGGCTCTGTCCCATTTTCCTCAAAAGAGTCCTGAGCTGATGGAGACGTAGTCAGGCCCTCCATTGCAGCAACTAGAGCAGAGCGGACAGGGTGCGTGTTTCTGTTACACTAAAAATATAAATTTCGGGTCAATAAAACCAGCCACCGTAGTTCTATTTAAAGTAGAATGTCACTATTTGAGCGTGCCACTTTACTGCTCAGTGATGCCTCTGTTTTCTCTTGATCATCCCTGTAGGTCAATGTCAGTGTGAGTCATGTGACTGTCATTAGGCGCTCGCACCTCGGCTCAGCACCTGTAATTACTGTGGAGGACACAACTCCATTTTATAGATACGTGTTTGCAGCTTGGAGATTATCTGGACAAGGACTTTCGGTTTCTGTGTGTGTGTGTGTGTGTGTGTGTGTGTGTGTGTGTGTGTGTGTGTGTGTGTCCTCGTGTGTGTGTGGCCTGAACAGCTAGACTGCAGCAGCGTGTTTCAGTATTTAGGACAATGGCTTCCACTGACTGATTCAGAACCAGCTGGATGGACTTTGAAACCATTCAGTCTTTTAGACTGGCAGCCACTGCAGCACATAAACTAGTCAACTTAAGGGTTGAAATATACTCGTCTGCTGGGAATAAGTGAAATAATATAGCTATGATAAATACATGAAATATATCAAGAACACAACAAAAGGAACATGTGATGTCATGCCTCACATGCTGGACGTACTGTACCTCTACTCTTTATGATAATCAGCTTACTATCAGGTGACAACAGTGTGCCACTAAAACTCTGCTGACTTTCACGTGATTACAATATTACAATTAAGACGGGGCGATATTCAATAAAAATAAAGTCAATATGAAATAACCACATCGTTTTGGATACTGTTGTGTGAATTAAATACTTGACAAATGAAAAGTATTTTCTCATTTGATTAAGAATTTATGTGCAAAATAATCCGATTCTTAGAAATTTGAGTCATGTGCTCATTATCGATTTAGACGAGCTAATTGTTCATGAGGATATCTCCATTTATGATTTAATATCAGACGATTATCAGCCAGCCCTATTACAATATAAAGTAGGATTGGACAATGTGGCGATAAACACCATAAAAGACAATTAGATTTACTGTGATTTATCCGTGTGATTGTCTATTGTGGTATTTTTTTCATTATTGGCAACCTCTAATGCAGTGGTTCTCAAACTGTGGGGCGCGCCCCTCTAGTGGGGCGCGATGGTATTACAGGTGGGCCGCAGGGGGAAATGCAGATTTCTTTTTTTTTTTTTTTTTTTTTTAAAGTAATTAATAAATACATGACGAAATGCCTGTACTTTCGTGTAAATGTTTACGTTACGCTGTTAACAGGTTACGCTTGCGCATGCGCGACGGCCATGATCCTTGGCGACTCACATGTGTGGCTTAGTCTTCAAAATGAAGAGACATTTGGCAGGCGGGAACGGAAAAGCAACTGCAAGCGATGCATCCGAGACGAACAGCAAGCAGCCAAGAAGAAAATATGATGACGCCTATCTTGCTCTGGGTTTCACAGTGAACGTGGTAGGAGATGAGGAGAGACCAGTCTGTGTTTTATGTCTGAAAACTCTAGCTACGGATAGTATGAAACTTGTTTTGTTTAGTTTTTCACAGGTTGCACTTTATTGTTATCTTGAAAAGATGTTTAGTGCAAAACAGGTTAATTGCAGCCAATTGCAATAAGCTATTTTTTGCCAAATTGTAGTTCTTTTTTGCACAGATATAACTTTATGTGCAGTGTTCTAACAAAGTGATTGCACATTTTATTTGTTTTTGTCTGATGGAGCAATCTGGTTTACTTAAAAGTGATTGCAATTTTCTTTACTCTATTATTTGAAAAAGCACAGACGGAGGAGTCACAAAATGTTATTTCAATAAAAGTTCAACATGGACCATTTTGTTACAATTTTGTTGGGGCGGTGGGGCATGAACATTTTTCTTCCTCCAAAGTGGGGCGCGACAGAAAAAGTTTGAGAACCACTGCTCTAATGTAAGGTAGTCTACAGGTGTTTGGTTTGGGTTAAAAATAGACTCGGGATTAAAAATTGGGTCAAGATTACAGTTGGGACTGGGATTAGACCCCTAATAGTTAGAGATCAAGTCATACAAATATTGTGTTTGCTATAACAGAGCCACAATTCATTAAAGAAAAACATCACTCACTCCGTATCCAAATGGAAGTCTGACCAGCACCCAAACTGAGTCCAAGGGGACCTCAGGTGCAGCCGGTCTCTACAGGTAACCCCCCTCCTCTCCTCCCCTGCCCTCCTCAGCCCACCTGCTCCTGCTCTGTGCCACGCAGTGCAGCTCCTGTGACCTTTCTCAAACCTCTGACTGAACACAGAGTGTTAGAAAATATCCCCCAGTCTGAGTCCTAAAACGCTTACATAACTTCTCCTAACACCGTCACCGCCGTCATGTGCATGAAAAGTCTGCACAGAGACCACAAAACAGCTTACGGGAACATATCAATCTATTTGTTTGACTAATAATTTACTATATAATAAGAAAACAATGTAATTTAGCATGTTAGTATGCAGGACCATATTGCCATGCTAATGCATTTAAGCATGCTTTGGTATGTTAGCATTAATCTCAGTTGACAGGAATTTAGTCAGCTGGTTTGGAGGTCATTAACTGAACTAAGGTGGGTGGAGCTACATGAAGAGTCACCAACGTCATCATGATTCATCCTCTGGAGATCATGAATGAAACAGTCTATACAGCCATGCGTGTGGCTCTGGCTTTGACTAAATGCTAACAAGCTCACAATGACAATGCTAACATGCTGAGGTTGATAAAATGTTTAACATAGTCACCATCTTGGTTTAGCGTGTTAGCATGCTAATATTCTAATTAGCACTAACCAAAGTATAGCTAAGGCAGATAGAAATATGAGTTTTGTAGGGGGATCAAAAACAATATTAGGAACATAAACGCGAGTACCAAAACCAAAGGCGATGAATAGAATAGTTGCCAAAGTCACCAAAGTTAGGATACATCATCTGGGGATCATGAATGTCTGAGCAAAGTGTTGTGGGTCAGGGGATCACCAGAGTCATTAAGATTCATCCTCTGGAGACTCTGAATGTCTGAACATAATAGCAATCCATCCAATAGTTGTTGTATTCATATTTTAGTCTTGACCAAAGAAGAAGACCAACATTTCTCTCCCAACAGCCCCGCTGCTAGCATTACTAAACATGATTTAGTGTTTATTAAGTCATAGCTGTAACTGAATGATAACTAATATTACTAAAAGCCACTCTAAGCATCCAGTGAACTAAGCCACCGGTTGATGATAGTGTCACACTGTACATTGTGTTCCTGCTGTGGCTTTCCCCTCAGTGAACCACAGCACACTGCAGAGTGAAAGTGCATCCCTCATTTAGTGGACAAAGCAGAAGAGTCTCGATGAGAGTCATCAGCCTGCCATAACAGCGCTGCACAACCCGATCTCTCTGGTGAGCTGACTACACACAACAGGATCTACACAACAACACACCGCATTTAGTAAGAGCCTGGACTCCCACGGCTCTCCGTACAGGCAACTCTGCTGCAGCACTTCAAGCCTGAATAAATGTGTCTGATGATAATCTGCAGAATCAGGCCGGCTGAAAATGTGCAGGAATTAGAGTTCAATTCAATCAGAGTTTGCTCTCTGATCATTAAAAGTGTTCACATGAAGGAGCCACACAAACTCTCTGTTTGGACAAAAAACTCAACAGAAAGTCCACTTATTATTTTGTAAAAAATGTGTAAAAAGAAAACACAAATGATTTTCTATAGCCCATGCTGAGTTATTAAAAGAGCTTGTTTGTCCAACAAATCCAAAGTTATTCAAATTACTACCACAGAAGAAAGCTGAGACACTAGAACCAGTAAATAATTCATTTAGGTATTTGTTTATGCAAAAATATGTGTAAGCTCCATTTGCACGACAACTAAGCGAAGTCTAACGATGAAGACGGGTCGAAAGCTCCAGAAAAAGTGAGGAAGTGGATCTTAAAGGGCAAAACAAAATGAAAGGGAAAGAAACTAGAAGCAGAGGGTGTTGTACTTCCATTTTGTGGCTGTGCATTCACAGGAAATGCATGGCAACGACTTAAAAGTTTAAAGCTGCATTAAGACAATAATACCGCCTCCATGGACAAATATACTCAGGCTCACCACAATACAAAAGGCCCTGTACTCGATGACGCAAATCCAGTACAGCCAGATCTCATCCACGACACTCTGAGGGGACGTTAGGAGGTGTTAATCCTGTTTAGAAGATTAGGACAAATCTAGCTTTCCCTGTCTCGGCACGTTCGTCCTGATACGTCCAAGAGTCCAACGTGATTCAGAGTCAGTGTTGTTGTGACCGACACTGTGTCACCGCAGGTTTTTATTTCAACCAGCAGGTTCAAACCAAACATCACAGTGTCTAGTTAACTGTATGCTGATAAGAACTCTATATGGCTGCATCTTACAAGTATTTTCACTTGATTTATCTGTCCGCTATTATCTTAGATTCAACAATCATTCAGTCTGCTAAATGTCAGCGTCACACACTTCAGAGTATGTTTGTCAATCTAGTCGATTCATCAACTATGTGTTACCATTTCAGCACCAATGCTGTTTATTTTCCATTATTTAGATATCCTCAATCACTGGTCATTCAGTTGTGTTGCACACAGCAAAACAGCAGTTATAACAGCAGTTATAACAGCCTTAATCTCAGTTAATACTGACTCTCATTTCACAGTTGAGATGTAATACAGTACACTGATATATATATATCTCTATAAATCAGGATCTTATCTCTATTTGAGAGTGTGCTGTTTATAACAAGCAAACGATACAACCTGCATTCTATCAGCCAGTGTGAGGACTATACCATTATAAAGAAGTATATATCTACCTCATAATATTTATGATATTGACAAAAATCGAGTCCAATCTGTACAAAAGCACCTGTACATTTTAATTATTCAGGTATAACAAAGTATTTCAAACCTATGGGGCGTTTAGGGACACAACTCCGCGGTTTAATCTGACAAACAAGACATTTATGAGAAAGACTGGAATTTTATAAACAGCAACCAGGTGATGTAAAGAAGTAAAAGTCCGCTTGGTCCTCATGAGAAGGCACAGAGTGTCTGCTCCTCCGTGTTTATCGCAAATATCCGCTATCACAACACTTCACACGCGATACTTAGTATCTCACAACACTTCACACGCGATACTTAGTATCTCACAACACTTCACACGCGATACTTAGTATCTCACAACACTTCACACGCGATACTTAGTATCTCAGAAGAGTTACATAAACGCCGCTTAAATTAGCATTAATACAATTTCTGTCTCGTTTTGTTTCTCTAGAAGAGTTAAATGGCGTTATAAGGAGGAGAGTTGCTGATGAGAGCCTCCTACCTGCTGGAGAAGAGGCTCAACCGCAGGCAGTCACACCTTCAGTCAGCTCCTCCACCGGGTTGAGTCTCTAACGCTGCTGTGATGAAGCCGGCCACAGCACGTGACCCGCCAGTTCCGCCTGCACGTGGTTATAACGCAGGAGGACGCATGGAGAGGATAATTATTAAGGTAAATTATTAGACATTTGTTTTCATGCACTGTGAACCTTTTCATTTTAAAGTATATTCCACCAGAAAAAAATAAAATAAAAATAATAATCTAGCTATTAATCTATTTGTGTCTCTAAAAACCTTTTTCTAAATCGTGCAATTAAGTAAATCATTATCTAAAGGCAGTGTACTTCTGTGAAATCAGTTTCCTTGTTTCTGTTTCATTCTTACATTACCTTGGTAATTACCTGAAATTACTTGGTTCACAAATCCTGAATGGTGATAAAACATTTAATTTTATTATGATGAGAATATTTCTATTACTTCTCACATACCTGTTTACATGGCAGTTTATGAATTTTGCAAATACTGTCTACCACACATATTTTATGTCATATTTATTCAGGCCTATGTTATATTGCATACTTTTATGTTATTTTGGCACTAATTAGACTAATATGTCTTAGAGTCACATTTTTTACGTGTTTTTTCTTTTTATAATAACGTGCATTGTTGGAGGAACCTTGAGGTCTAAGATTTTCTTTGCCAACGACTGCTTATATGTAGTTGTGCACATGACAATAC